TTCAGTAGTGTACGGATCTCAAATTCCTCAGTATATGCCAGCATGAGATGCTGGGATAAAAGACCCGTCTGTAACTACTCCTCACCTGAGAGTCACAGAGTAAAGGCCTAGAAGATCTCATGAAACCATCTGGATTATATTAGCTAAAGGGCAGTCAGCAGGTCAAAGGCAGGGAAGAAGACATTATTCCCCTCCAGGAGGCAGTTTTGAGTTTTGTCCTCCACCAAAAGGGTACAGCAAGATGCTGGTGAAGCACAAAGGATACAAAGAGAAGTTGAGGGAGCTGGGCTTGGTCAGCCCACAGAAAGGAATGCTGAGGAGAGATAATGATGATCTTACATGTCTTTTCCAACCTAGTAGATTCTATGATTCTATACTATTGCTGTCTACAACAACCTAATGGGGATACGAGAAGAGAGAGCCAGGCTGTCCTTGCAGGCAGAGAGGCACAGAACACAGCTGACCCACAGTAGGGTTAGCACACCTGGATCCTTCCTGACTGAGACCACAAGCACAGCTGTCGCTCCCATGGTGAGCTAAGGAAAAGAGGTGGGCAAGGGGATAAGGCACTACTTTTATCAGACCACTGACCTAGCTGGAAAAAGCAGGCAAGCTCTTCCTACAGTTTGTCTAGTCTGTCCTTGACTGCATTTGTGTTAAACATTATTTGGCCATTTGTATTTTGGTCGTTGTTACATTAGGAGTCAACAAGCTTCTATAAAACATGCAAAAAAAGCCACTGATAACTCAGTTTCACAAGTAAACTTTAGGGTCCCATGACTACGTTTCTGTTTATGAAAATAATGTGTTCATGTAAACTCGATGTGATTAAAATCAGGCTGTGAAAACAATCAGATCCCCCTTTCATTAGCAGACTCTGCAGGAGAGCAATACCGTTATTTGTCCTGTCTGAACAGTGTATAATACTTTGCAGCACTTAACAACATTATTTAGACCTTGGGTGCAGAGTCAGCTCTTCAGAAGGAAACAGGATGAGACACCACTCTTACAAAGGTTGATATTTACGTGAAGAGAAAAACATGGAGGTTTGGAGACCTATGGCTGTTAACAGCTTACAAGAATTCCCCATTTATTAAAATGAATGAAAAAGAGGTGAAACCAATACATTCCTGGTCCAGTAGAGTGTGAGCCCAGCACCAGTGTGGCAGTCAGAGCTCACACCTGTGTGTTAGACACTTGACACTTTCCCCTAGGGAGGTCCCCGTGGTGCAGAGTCCTGTCTGGCATGACTACTGCTCAGGCAGGGCTGAGCAGCTCAGGACCTGTGCAACTCAGGCTCTGCAAAGTCAGTTTCTTTGCTGTTCAATCTGTCAAGATACACCAAGCATAAACCTATCAGTATGAGATGTGGCAACCTAAGAAAGCTTCAGCTCATCTCTGCTGTGCTCTTAAGCATTCCATGGGTTCAACTGACTTTATGCATTGGCAGTGCCAGTGCATGTCTGCCCAAAACACACCTTGTAGACAAACTCACAGCAGCTCAACATAAGATATCTCCATCTTCAGTTCTCTCACTCTAACTCTCCATCTGGCAAACTGGAAATGTAGTATGTCCCTATTTCACTTGGACATCACAGGGGTAAATACATTCACGGTTCAGCAGCAAACGAGTATGCAGGTCCTCAAGGCAAACTGGCTGCTATTTATGAATGAATGCTACAGAAAAGGCTCTTAAAACCAGACAAGATGCAAAAAGGGTTAAAAAGATTAAAAATATACTTTATGTGAAAGATTCTTGTTGTTACTCCTTTTCTGATGAAACTTTGTCTTTAGCAAAGCTTTGTCTCTCTGTCAGTTCCACATATTTCTCTTCTTGGTGTTCCTTAACCCCGTGGTAGTGACTTTTTGTCATGCTTTATAGTTTAGTAAATAAATAAATAAATAAATAAAATCACCAGATGACTTCTAACAATGATTCATGTTAATGTTATTGCTCATTATTATCATTTGTCATATGAGACTATGCCTGGTTGGGCATTTTTCCTCTTTTAAAAGAGAACTCTGGCTCAGCTCTGGAGGCTTCACATTCTGTTTATTATACTAGCTGAAACATGTTTATTACACTGTCATGTTTTTATATCCCTCCTGCTACTTTGTGCAAAGCATACTTTTGCTCTGACCAAACTGTGAAAATTCTGCAAGGTTTTGCCCTCCCTGATCTAGCCATTGATCTGCCGAGTTCAACAGCCTCACGTGATGGCAGCCAGTGTCTGACCCAGCAGATTGTCCTCCACTCTCAGTACCACACCTAATCCTGAGAGGCACTCCATGGGGAAAATGTCTTCATCAATTCCGGTCCTAATTCATGAGATTTCCTGAGTTTCAAGCTCTGTCTTTTCCTAAAATATGTTAGAAATGGTTGTGTACTGCTTGTCTGCATGGTTGTTTCTGTAACTACGTTCAATCAAGAGGAGAAGCCGAAGCAGATATATGTAATGGATAAAAATAACAGTGATAAAGCAATAGTAATGACAACCCTATTTTCATGTTGCAGCTGCAATGGATTTGTGCAGAACCTTGGCCAGGGGGCTTTCCAGGCACTTTCCTTTTGGACCCCTGAGCCATGCTGACTCCACAGCTTGATGGCAAGGAGTCTGCCAAGTGACTTTCTAAACGCAAATAGCAATCAAAGAAAGTCACCTTATGGGAACTCAGTCACCCTTGATATCTCCTCAATTGTGGAGCTTATCTGAAAGACCAAAAAGCTCTACCTTTTGCACCTGGCATTTGGAAATGTGAATGTTCCCTCCAGAATTCTGCCATTAGATCTAACAGATTGCATTACTTCCCCTTTGGTAAACAATCGGATGTTGCTAATAATGCCCTAAAGATTTGTTGTGGCATGAAAACCTCCCAGACAGTTTTCTTGGTTTGCAGTGTTGTCAGTATTCATTGTGACTGCCACAGAACCAGAAAGTTTAGACAGGCATGGTCAGGACACCACACTTGCAATTCCCATAGAGTTACATACAACACTCTCCTTTTACTTTTGAATTTAAGAGATATTGCATCACAACTGGCGCCAGTGAGACAGGTTTTTCAAACTGTTCAAACACTGTTGGGAAAGGAAGGGAACCAGTGACTGATATATCTGGGCTCCTGCTTCTTGCTCCGGAGACCCTGGCTGTGTTTGAACCCTGGAGGAGCGATGCTAAGGCTATAGTCCCACAACTCTCTTAAGTCAACATAAGCAAATGCTGATGCTTAAAGAGGCAGTGCCAACTCCCACTGACCTAATCACTGTTTTCACTGTCCTTGCTTTCCCAGTGACTTCAAATAGTCATATAAATACATACAGGAGAAAAAAAAAAAGGGGCAAGGGGCTAGTTTTAAACCAGAGCATTGCCCTGTTCCCACTCACCATGTGGCTGCATGAATATGTGGCAGAAAGAAGGCAGAGAAATGTAGATGGCAGTAACCAGGCAGAGGACTGAAAGGTAAGGCAGGACTGCTTATTCCAGTTTAAACTGATTGTGGAGCTAGTGAGTAACCTACAGCAGTTGAAAAATGTTGAAAAAGGCTAATGAGGAATGGAGGGTGGATGTGCAAAAAGGGGGACGCAGACTTCCCTGATCCATTATGTCTAGGTTAGGCAGATAAAATGAAATCAATTTTGCGATGCTGGGAAAATGACATTAGAAATGTTTAAGCTAGTCTAAACATAGCTGAAGCACCCTTCACTTACAAAGTAAGTGCTTCACATTATCTATGAGGACATCCAAAATCAAGTACTGATAATTCCTAATGAAACACAACCTAGTCAAGTTGCTCTTTTCAATCAAAACAGTTGTCTCCTTTTCTTAAATGAAAATCACTTGCTTCGTAAAAAGTTTTTATGTTTCAGAAAATTATATTGAGAATAATGTTTCTTAATAATGACTCTTATAACGGCATTACTTAAAACAATTAAATCAATTAGTTCAATAAAATCCTTCAACTGAACTGCAATATTTTGGCACTGTGACTGACTGAGTTTACTGCTTTTCCAATTAATTAAAGACTGGTTCCTTTAGAAATTACACTCTGCTGCTCTGCAGCAAGAACATTTTCCATTACTCATCCCCCACTGCTGTCAAAGGGCCTTTATTGCTGGCTTTTCATTCTCTCTTCAATCCTAAATTAACATCGTTTATCACAATCTTTGCTAGGTAGAACTGTTGGAGAAAAATTGATTTTGAATTCTATCCATGTTAAAACTTCATCGACATCAGCAAGTCCAAGAAGTAATACTACTAGACGCTGAAGCTTCATGCCAGCCACAACCACCAAATGGTTTTGGCTTAATTTTAAATACTGTAGCTGTGGCTGTTCAGCAACAAGTAAAAGCACCAAAAAGAGGGATAAAAAGGTAACTGTTTATCACAAAATAGCATAAAGAATCTTTTCATAGACCAAGTAATCAAGCTCCTGTCAAGATGAGATAATTGTCAATCAAGTTCTCAATTCAAACACAGCTGCTAAAAATCAGACAGATGAAGCCAGACACCACTGTAGTTTGAAAACCTAACTCCGAAGTGAGTACAGTCTTGGCAGTAGCTGAGATGCTGTTGTAACTCTGTACAGTTGTAAAAGCACTCAGAAAAGAAGTTCAAATTGGAGATTTTTGTCTTTCTGAAGCTGAAAAATAATATACTTACCATTCTGGCTAAAATGGTAGCTAATGAGAAAAAATTCTCTTAGTATATTACCTTAAAAAAAGAATAAATAAAAAAAAATGAAGTACTAAAGAATAAGTGTTCTTCACTTCCACTAAGCCATTAGTATTTCTTTAAATCAAATCCTATCCGTAAAAGTATTTTCCTGGTTCAGCAGGCTGAACAGCAGAGACAAGTGTGAGCGCACTTCAGTGAGCAGTGACCATTCCTGCAAAGGCTCATGCTTCTCCACATTGCTCATGCCTATTGAAAGTAACAGGAGTTACATATACAAGTATTTTTTTTTTTTTTTGCAAATGTTAAAAAATATTTAGCATAAGTTTTTTCACTTAAACTACTTGAACCTGCTAAGAACAGATTGAAGTAAAATCTGGAAATCAGTTCTCACAGGAAATTAGCATTTTACTTTTAGGTGCTGCACATTCATACACCACTATTGTTTCTTATACCGTTGTGTAATTCTACACAAATATTGATTAGTAATTTCGTAAATCTGAAAACCACAATTCCCAGGTGATGACCATGACCCTAGAAAAAGTCTAGAGAAAACAACCTCATTACGAGACGTACCTTGCAATAGATGTTTATTTAACGGGAAACCCGCAAGAGCAGCTGCCCAGTGCAACAGTACATATTTGCTTCTGAATCCTTTCTCAAAGGCACTATTTAAACATGTTGATGAACTGAGCTGAATTTCTCCCCACCTCCATTCCAGCAAAACAAGGAGACTCAGAAGATAAAGTTTGTTTTGCTATTGCAAGCAGTGCTATGTGGTAAGTGAGAAAATTACTTTCTATAGTCATACTTCAATATGAAAGTGGAAAACTTCCATATTCTTGTACAGATGCAATGTCCGTGTGTACTATTCAGTGACATTTCTATTTGCAAATTAATATATTACTATTTCTAGAAGTGTTTGTGTGTAGAGCTCTTTCTTATCCATATTTGGCTTGATATGAAAGATCAGACTACTCTAGCTTCACCACTTAGGCAAGAGGGAAACAAGAATTACTGTATAGCTAATATCAGGCCAATTCAAGATATACGACTTGTTTCAGATCTGGTTCTTATTCACGTTAAACTGTGAACAACTGAAATGATTACAAGGGTTTTATTACATGTGAAGCTGAACTAGCTACAGCTAAATTTTTTGGAGCATCCTGAACTGCAACAGTGACAACAGAGATTTTTCAATTGCTAAGTTCAGTCTTTTGACCTAGAGGGGAAAGTTTGTGTCTCCTGAGCCAGTCAAACTTCACACTTCCATTCTGGGCTGTGTTTTAACCTTTCTTCTGCCAATGTCTGGATTGGAATCCCTTCAGCCTGTCAACACCTAACTTTAATTAGCTGAAGGAATTTCTCAAAGTGCTCCTTCTCACTTGGAGATGTTTCTGCAATCATTCTAGCTCAAAAAAAAAAAGAGGAATTGGGAGTGACACAAGGCAGGTCATCAGTGGGCCATGGCTGAGGTGCTCTTCTCCTCCACCACTGACAAACAATGTAGGTTTTCAGAAAGGACATGATCCAATGTCTAATCTACTCCTGCATGAAGTTGGTCACGTGTTTCTCTCGCATGGAGGAAGATCTGAACTATTTAACTATAAGTGCCACGAAACCAAACTTTCTGAGAGCAGAAAAGAATGTTTTCCATAGTAAAACAGAAGCCAAAAAGCACAAGATGAGTCATGCTTTTAAGATGTGTGAGTTCTGTGACACCTCATTCCAACAAAACTGAAAATGTCCATCAGCCATTTCATTTGCTTTGTGTTTTCACTTACATAGGTATCTGTAGGCAATAAACCATAAAGTAAAAACATGGACTGAACCCTGAGCTACTTATTCAAGATAAATTCTTATTACTGGCAAAGGAAGATCCATTTGAGTAACTTTATCTCTTATTTATTTCACTGTAAAAGGAAAAAAAATACTAAAAAATCATATTCCTGCAGCATCCAGAAATTTTGCTCATCTCAGTTACAATAGTCACATTGCTCACTAATCTGGTTTGAAAGCAGAAGGGTGAACTCATACTTCCTACCAAGACCTGTAGTGAGCTTGAGGAGCAAAGGGCAATTCCTTAAATATCAGTCTTTGTTTTCATAGTGGAGTTATCTGACTCTTATTAACTTACCTTGTCTTTTATCCTCCAATTCAGTGTCTTTAACACTAATTTCTGAAACATGAATTTTAAATTTTCAGATCTAATGGCTGGATTAATTAAAGAAAAAAAGGAGAAAATGAGCTATATTAGGAATCAGAAGTGCTCTGTAAATTAAGGTCATAGATTGCTAGATAAGCAGGAATCTGTTATGCTTTTTGTTGTAATGTTATGAATTGTTTTTTTACTTTGAAGCAAACTTTATCTTGATGTAAAATGGGATAACTCTACCATATATATCAGTGCATAGAGAAACTGACCATAGTGTTATGAAATCCAAATCATCAAGACTGTTGGAACAAGTCCAGCGGAGGGCCATGAGGATGATCAGGGGCTGGAGCACCTCCCATATGAAGATAAGCTGAGAAAGTTGGGGGTATTCAGCCTGGAGAAGAGAAGGCTGCGTGGAGACCTCATAGCAGGCTTCCAGTATCTGAAGGGGGCCTATAGGGATGCTGGGGAGGGACTCTTCATTAGGGACTGTAGTGACAGGACAAGGGGTAATGGGTTAAAACTAAAACAGGGGAAGTTTAGATTGGATATAAGGAAGAAATTCTTTCCTGTTAGGGTGGTGAGGCACTGGAATAGGTTGCCCAGGGAGGTTGTGAATGCTCCATCCCTGGCAGTGTTGAAGGAGAGGTTGGACAAGCCTTGGGTGACATGGTTTAGTGTGAGGTGTCCCTGCCAATGATAGGGTGGTCGGAACTGGATGACCTTAAGGTCCTTTCCAACCCTAACTATGATTCTGTGATTCTAAGACCTGATGTTAATCTAGACTACTACTACTTGTAACACTCACCAGTGGCAGTGACATACGAGACATTTTTCAATAGTTTCCTCCCTATTTCACAATGATTTTATGAAATTCAGTTCATGCAGACATCTGACCTCAATGTAATATTCTTAAAAATTCTTAACCCATTCCTTGATAACATAATTTTTTAATTACTTTCTTCAAACTCTGAACTCTTTAGCTATCATATGGTCTAGCATCTGACATGTAACACAAGGATGGTCCTTCCATGATTTGAAAGTGAAATTCACAATATTGACAAGGTGATGAATCTTCCCCTCCTTTGAACTTTACACACTTGGATAACACTATGATATTTTAGCAATGAAACTTATCATACCATGGTTCTGAATTTTTGCTTTCTGGTGTTGATATTTACACCAATAGACTAAAATAATGTCAAATTATGTACTAAGGGTGTCTGTTGCATGACTTTCAAGGTCTGGAATCTGTGGCTTACTGGTGGTTCATAAGAATTTTGGTAAAGTTGTAACACCCAAGATCATATTTCCAGATTTACATCATAGATTTTTGATCAGAAAAGAAAAAAAGTAACAGCAAGAAGTCTTAGCTACCAGTGAGTTTCACTAAGAAGAGCTAAATTTATCACAAAACAAAAACAGTGAAAATGTACAGTTAACTTCAGAATGATCTATTGTGTCTCATACAATTGCGCATACAACAAATAGTATCACATTTGTTCAACTTTTTAAGCATGGATCAAGATTTTTCCCATTTCTTGTAGGTCTTCTAGTCCACACATTTGTCATCTCAGGGTTATATACTTTGAAAGCATTCTGGTTGGTACTATCCATAGAGAAATCAAAGTGTCAACTGTTTCAACATGTGGGCGCTAACCTCCTAAGGGATGAAGGGCAGTTGTTCTAAACACATCACGCTGGTGTATCTTACTGTTTTCAGCTGCTTTTTTCAAGATAGCTCAGCTACTACCTTCTAAGATCCATATATCTGAAAAACTCGTGTGCCTTATTATGAGTGAGATTGACAGAGCTGCCATGCTTTGCTGATATTACATAGGTATTCACCTTCGGGGTCTGAAAAATGTTTTCCAATAAAGACCCTTAAATGCAGAACTTAGACCTCTCATTCCAGTCCTCTTTGCTCAATTTTTTCCATATAAGTGAAGAAAACAGATAGATAGAATATGCTGACTCGCTGTTTTAGAAAGATTTCTTTGCACATTGATGTATATGACTGAAGACAACTGGTATGGAAAATATGCATATAGGATCTTAATGGGAAAAAAAAGATGTATTACTACTGCTTCATGGTGATAATTCTTTTGAACAATGGATAGGTTTGTACTCTAGTCATATTTTAGTTGTAGGTGGGTGCCACAAGACATGCAGAATTCATTATGTTCTATTGTTTGTTTGCTTACATTACTGGACACTGTTTTCTAATATTTTTACTGTTGCTTCTTGTGACCCTAATCCTTCAGTGCTGGCTTGGGTTTGGAAAGAAGGCCTGACAGCAGAAGGCTGAAAGTGCATGATCTATTTCTCATCTTCTAGAGCTATACTACTTGACTTTTTTGAGCTTTAGCTATGTCCTATGTGGTGCTGCAGAAACTGAGCAGCAATTTAGGCAGTAATCCAAACACTGTAGTACTTAAAATTGGAGTCAGCCCCTCAAACACCTTCAAAATTATTTCAGTGATCTCTTTGACTCCGTTTAACATGAAGGCCTTGATTTATGTCATGTAAAACCTCACCCTCTATAGTTTATGCCAAGGCAGCATCTGAAACACATCACATCTCTCTCTTTCTTACTGTAGGAGTAAATTCTCAAAAAATAGCCTTCCCTTCTCATTACCAGTTATTAATGTACATTTAGGATATGTTTGAGTTACTCTATCCAACCATGTTCTTCCTCACTTTCGGGAAAGATGTGTTTGTTCAGCCACACTGTTCAGCCAATTTAGTAATGAGTGTCCACTCTTACTAGCTGACATGAAGCACAGAAGAAATTGTTCCACTTAAAGGTTTAGTCTTCACAAGGTCAACATGCAAGCATATATGCAAGTTCCAGCATAATTTTCTGTAAATTGTGACTTTTTCACCCAGGTCCTTAAAAACCCAAATTTTGAGTAAAAATGTATATATTTAGAAATTCTTTTGCATCAGTTTTGTTTCAAAAATATAATTATCTAAGGGATTTTGCCAAAGATAGATATTTCCTACAAATGTCATTTTAGTTAAAAAGAAAAAACAACTCACAGAAGGAAAACATTTAATCAGGTCAACTGACAAATTTATACAACTGCATAATGCAAGAGTTATCCTGACATACACAGGGGAGCTCACAGAGAAACATATTCTCAGAAAGTTACCTACTCTTTTTCAAAGTAATTGATTAGAAAAATAAATAGGTGCCAAAAAGATAAAAGTATTTGATTACTTCCAGCAACACACTCCCTCCTTATGCGTTATCCTGGGGAGTGACTCAAATAATTGCTCAAGAAGAATGCACTGGAGTTTACAAATTAAATTTCTCATGACATTTAGTAAAATTGAATCACTGAATACAAGAACTAACAGTCTAAGGTTCTCCTTTACACAAAAGTGTCTTTATGCCACTCTGGCAGTAGAGAAGGGCTATAAGAGAAGTAATGCAATTAACTCCCGACTGAGTGCCCACTGGCACAGACTGGAACAGTGAAATAAAAGCTAACTCTGAAATCTTTCTAAAGATGTTTCTAACTGAAAAGTTCTATAATTGTCTTAGTCAAAGTGACTAGCTACTCAAGAATAGAAATAAATCCAGATTTTTTACTTCATTTTTATAACAGAGGGCTTGAG